TAAGATCACCATAACCCCAACCCTAGGATTACGAGTGGCAAAACAACAATTTTTGGTGCACATCACAATCCTTGTTGGTGTACCATCTGCAAATTTGCAATGGTGATCCTCTGCGACCAGGCGACGTCGCCTGAAACGACGCGACAGTCGCGATCGTCGGATATTTTTGTTGACCACGTTGACTGCGTTACTGATCCGAAATCAACCGCTTTATTGGTTCGAACTTCATCAAAAGAATGCTCTGATTAGTCGCGATTTTGTTACAGCAGTTCACGACAACAAAAGTTTCGTCATCAAGGATCACCTTGTCTTTGGTACAAAGATGCAAGGATCACCGAGAGATTGGCAGTCACCACGATCTCCCAATAAACACCAAGATCGGGTATCACGATCTCTCGTGATTTCGATCCTTCCTCTGTTGGTACATCACCTGACACAGTGATTACTGTACAGTGGTAGGTATGACACTGTTCTGTAAGGATCGCCTACGTGATCCTCAAAATGCAGCAATCTTTGCTTGGGTGTAACACGCTCTTACTCCCGCTCTGCGTGGGTTCATCTGGCTTGTTATGTCACGTGGCACATCACTTCTACAGTGACTGACGGAATTCACCGCCAAGCCTCACACGGACGATCGACTCTCAACCGTCCGATCCGATTTTGCAAAACCTGGGTCTCTCCGAACCGTTTTGATGAGCACAGGGGCATGGCTCCTGTTCTGCGTCGAAATTGGGCACGGGGAGGGGCAGAGCGAAAGTGCGCCGGGCTGTTTGCGCGATTGGTTCTTGGAGGTCGAAATTGGAAGGCGGAGCGCAACGCCTCCACCCTTTCCCCAAGAACCCCCAAAGACGGGACGGGATTGGTCATTCTGTTGCGTGCGATCTCTCAGCCTGAGTCACCTAGTGGGCTAGAGCATTTATCACGGGGCGCGCCGCTTACAAATCCGCCATCTAGAATACGAGGGTCACCTACAAATCGTAGTATCCTTACGTTCTCGGTCAGTTCGTCTTTATTCTTATTGTCTTTCTTATTAATGGATCTGTTCCAATCGTATACGCACCGCGTCTACCAGTTTCTCGAACAATTGTTACATCTGACACGTTAGTGATTGAGTCACGGGATAACCAACTGCGTTCGCATCGTCTCGCCGTCCGTCCGCACGGAATCCTGTATTTCGTTTCGTTCGTCGCTTCTACTGGCTACAGTAACCCTTTATTTGGCAAGTACTTTCGTTACGGACGTGGTAACCCATGCACACGCAGCTGGAAACCGCGCCGGCCGCGATCTCGCCGCATTTCAAGCTGGGTGACGCCAAATCCCGTTTCGAGGCGCCTCAGATCTCGCCGCAAGTTGCGCCTCAGGTCTCGCCGCAAGTTGCGCCTCTGGTCTCCTTGCAAGTTGCGCCGCCAGTCTCCCCGCAATCCAAGCTGGGGGACGCCATCTCCCCCGCTTCCCGCGCCCCCCGCAACCTCCAGTTGCGGGTGGGCGGGGACGCTTCTCCCTCCAGAGCCGCGCGCCCGGGCCTTCATCCCCACCTCCCGGGGGACGCTTCCCCCTGTAAAGCCCCGCGCGGGGATACCCAAGCGAGAGTTTCCCCGGAGACTTCCCCATCCCCCGCGAAAGCCCCGCGCGGGGACCTTCAAGTGCGCGTGGCGGCGGAGGACTCCCCCTCGCGCCTGTGGTTCCGCCGAACCGGGTCTGAGGACGAAGCGCGAGCTCTTGCCCAATTGCTCTCGCTCCAGCAGCACCAGCAGCAGCAGCAACAACTAGCCCGTCAATCCGGTCAACCCGGTCAACCTGGTCAATCCGGTCAATCAGGACAACCCGGTCAATCAAGTCAACTGGGTCAACCGAGTCCGTCGTCAGCAACAGCAGCGATGATGGGAGCCTATCCACGCTGTCGAGCCGGCGACGGTTTTCCAATCGGCAGTCCATCCCTCAGCTCCCCGCGTTTGCCGCCGCGTTCCCCGCGCACGCCGGATCTGTCGCAGTCGCCGGCCGGGTCTTCTCACAGCTCCCCGCATCGCTCGCGGCCCGGGTATTCCGCAAGCGGCGTGCACGTGCCGAATCGCGAGCTCGCGCGACGGTCGCAGCAGTGGGCGAATCTGCGATGCGAGGCGAAGGTTCTTTCGAGCGCGTTAGAGGAGTTGGTCGCGTCGACAGTGAACGATTGGAGTGTAGAGAGCGTGGAGGGCGTGGCAGGCAGGGGTGGTGGCGTCGCGAGCAGCAGTAACGGTAACGTTAACGTTAACGACAACGAGAACGGTAACGGGAGTGGGAACAGTGACGGTGACAGTAACAGCGCGAGACTCTCTAGCCCGGACGAAACGCCGACGGAGCTTTCGCCGAAGGAGGAGGGGGGTTGTAACGAGCAGCGGAGAGTATAATTGCTGGGATCAGCAGCAGCCGCAGCGGCAATCGTGCAGCAGGCAGCAGCGGAACTCGTAGCATGCATCAGCAGTACTCGTGTAGCATAAGGTGTGGACAGCGGAAATCGAAGCAGCAGCACGCGAAAATAACGTAACTCTTTTGTAACGTCTGGCGACTGGTGGCTGATTCAGTAGCGGCTTCGAGGCGAGACGTGAAGAGCCGATAAGAGCGAAGGACTTGTTATCTCACTGGTAGTTCGCGGGAGTAAAATTAGGGTTTCGACAGAGCAGCTGTGCACGGGTATTAGAGAGATGGAGTCTTAACGACGTTTGGTGAGTTTTTTGGCAAAACGGTGAAGCTCGTGCAGTAAGCGGTTTCTCAATACAGGGTACGCCTGTACGGATAATTTTCTCTTCCGCCTTTCTCTTTTCATGCTTTCCTGATTCCTGAAAGCCACTCCTGGTACGGCCAGTTTTAACGCCCGTTAACTCAATAAAGTTGAAATAACCTGTTTGTTCAAGCAGGACTGCGGTTGTGTTCCTCCTTGTTGGTGCGAATTGAGTCGTGTGTGATTTGAAGGTGTGCGAAACGAAATTCTGATGCATGAACACAGGTGAACTGACAAGTCAGTTCATGCTCGCATGTATTCACTTGTCAGTCCATGCTTGGGTGTATTTGCATTTCAGTGCAATCTTGTGTCCGTGTGGTTGTATGTGTATGCGCATGCAAGCATGTGTGCTTGTATGCCGAAGGGCATGTATGCATATGTGGACTCGCATCTTGTGCCAATGTGCCTGTGTGCAGGCAAAGATATTTGAATCTGTGTATCCATGTGTGTGTGTGTCTCTGCATGTGTGCATGTGAGCGAAAGCATCTGTGTGCATCCATGTGTCACGTGTGCATGTGTCACATGCACAAATGCATGATGCATGTACCACGTGTTATGTGCATTCCACATGGTGCGCGTCCTGATGCCCTATGCTCTGTACAGTGTCTATATCACCCTTAAATTTCCTGATTGTCATACCACGTTGACCCATGTCACCTCATCCTGTGTGCAGTGCCACAGTGTGCGAGTGTCACCCCAAGCTATGTGTTCCCCCATGCTATGTGTTTCCCCATGCTATGTGTTCCCCCATGCTATGTGTTTCCCCATGCTATGTGTTCCCCCATGCTATGTGTTTCCCCATGCTATGTGTTCCTTCATGGTATGTGTTCCCCCATGCTATGTATCCCCCCATGCTGTGTGTTCCCCCATGCTATGTGTTCCCCCATGCTATGTGTTTTATGCATTGTGCATATCACCCTGGTTTCTCTTCAGTGTCATTCCACGTTGACCCTTGTCACCTCATTCTGTGTGCGGTGCCACAGTGTGGTGTGTCACCCCAAGCTATGTGTTCCCCCAAGCTATGTGTTCCCCCATGCTATGTGTTCCCCCAAGTTATGTGTTCCCCCATGCTATGTGTTCCCCCATGCTATGTATCCCCCCATGCTGTGTGTTCCCCCATGCTATGTGTTCCCCCATGCTATGTGTTTTGTGCATTGTGCATATCACCCTGGTTTCTCTTCAGTGTCATTCCACGTTGACCCATGTCACCTCATTCTGTGTGCGGTGCCACAGTGTGGTGTGTCACCCCAAGCTATGTGTTCCCCCAAGCTATGTGTTCCCCCATGCTATGTGTTCCCCCAAGTTATGTGTTCCCCCATGCTATGTGTTCCCCCATGCTATGTGTTCCCCCATGCTATTTATTTACCCATGCTATGTGTTCCCCCATGCTATGTGTTCTGTGCATTGTGCATATCACCCTGGTTTCTCTTCAGTGTCATTCCACGTTGTCCCATTTCACCTCATCCTGTGTGCGGTGCCACAGTGTGCGTGTGTCACCCCATTCCATGTGGCCTTAGCATTGTCCGTGTCACCCGGTAGTCTGTTTAATGTTTGACAAGGATGTCCCACGTCACTCCGTTCTGTGTGCGGCGCCATTGTATGTGTGTGTCACCCCATGCCATGTGCCCTCTGCATTGTCCGTGACTCCCTGGAGTCTGCTTAGTGTCACGCCACATTGTCCCATGTCACCTCATCCTGTGTACGGTTCCATTGTATGTGCCACCTCACCTCATCTTATGTAGGGCTGTGTTGGTGTGCCATAGCACCATCTCATATCATCCAGTATTTATTCATGTCATGCCATAGTGTTGTCTCATTGTGGCCTGCCCAATTCCCATGTCATGTCATCCCTCTCTTGCATCTCTTTCGCCGCAATAACCTGGATGCACAACAAGGGGGGGCTGTTTTATTGTTTCTGCGTAGTGTGTGTGTATGTGTGTGTGCTGATGGTGGGTTAATCCAAGTAACAAGGTCCCTGCAGACAGGCTGTAGAATTCTATCGGGCATACCGTAATTTGTGTGCGATTCGTACAGACTTGAAACTCCCAGTAGGTACCATGCCATTTAGACCATCAAGCTTTCTCCGGAGGGACCAAGGCCAACCCTCTGAGAGGGAGGGCTCACATTCCACCCAGGCGATCTTGAGAACATTTTACGCCTGGCAAACTGGGTGGACAGCTACTGCACATAAGCGAGCTATTCCCTGCATAATCTAGCTAGAACTAAGTACTACTACCGCATTTTACATCTGCACATTACCATAGTTATAACTTTAAACAATACAGCAATAATGGAATCTGGACAGTCAAATGAGGAGGGCACACACTCCACCATCTCTGCATGTCAGCCACCGTACCTATCTGCCAGGCTCGGCGGAGGAGGCTCGGACATGATGTCTGGGTGCTGAAGCAGGTACTGACGAATGGTGGTGTGGCGGTCGGCCAGAAACGTGTGGTCTAGGAAACTTGCCAGAGCCTCCTCTCCCAGCCCTTGTGCTGCCAGCACACTGCAGCAGGGGAAAGAGGGAAAGGCTGGTATTTGCACCTTAATGTGGCTGGCCAGGAATGTGTGGTCCAGGAAACTTGCAGGAGCCTCTTCTCTCAACCCTTGCGCTGCCAGCACACTACAATAAAAGAGAGAGGCAGATCAGGAAGTCGCACATCAGCAGACGGAACAGAAGACTCTACTGGTCGAAAATGCCTTGCGATTCACATACTGAAGATTATTCATTCAGTTCAGCACAATGGAATAAAGAACTCTTGCTCGTGACTCGTTACACGACTTTCGTCCACTTGCCACGTAGGCGACAGCAACTAGAGAATTTTGCTGGTAGCTGTGGTTCACTGCATGGTAAACGGCATGGTAACTTGACATCTCACCAGTGCCGCAGGTACACACGGCATGGCAATACAGTGTCGTCCCACACCCTCTCCTCCTCCCCACCTGCGTGCACTGCAGCACAGATAGACGTGCTATGCAGCATGCTGTGCGGCATGGTTACACAGTAACGTGATATCTCACCAGTGCCGGAGGTAGACACGACATGGCAATAGAGTGTCGTCCCACACCCTCTCCACACCCCACCTGCCGTACTGCAGTGCAGCATAGGTAGATGCTGTGCGGCATGGTTACACAGTAACGGTATCTCACCAGTGTCTGAGGTAGACGCGGCAAGGCAGTAGAGTGTCGTCCCACACCCCCTCCACACCCCACCTGCCGTACTGCAGTGCAGCATAGGTAGATGCTGTGCGGCATGGTTACACAGTAACGTGATATCTCACCAGTGTCTGAGGTAGACGCGGCAAGGCAGTAGAGTGTCGTCCCACACCCTCTCCACATCCCACCTGCCGTACTGCCTCTCATACTCCTCCCTGTCACCTAAACATGGGGGAGGAGAGTGGGGAGGAGAGGAGGGGGGAGAAGGAGGAGGAAAGGGGAGGAGAGAGAGAGGAGCAATGCCACGAGAAAACCCTTTAAACGGATGAGAAGGTTCTCATTACAGAAAGAAGGAAAATGGAGGATCAGTCAATGACAAGGAGAAAAAAGCACACCTTTCAGACGGATTTGAAGGTACTCTTGATCGCTGTAGCGGCTGCAGATGACCTGAAAGAGAGAGAGAAAGAGGAAACACAGGAAGTGGGTTGGCGGGAGCAGTAAGGGAGAGAGAGAGAGAGAGAGAGAGAGAGAGAGAGAGAGAGAGAGAGAGAGAGAGAGAGAGAGAGAGAGAGAGAGAGAGAGAGAGAGAGAGAGAGGAGAGAGAGGAAGGGCGAATGAGGGATTTGAAACTAGTCTTGATCGCTGTAGCGACAGGGTTGGGTTGGGTTGCACAGGGGCTAAACGCTAGCGCAGTAATTCTGCTACCAATAATCCTGGAGATTCGGCTGATGGCCTTTGAGAATGCTTTAAAGCCGATTCATGCTTACTCACCGCGTGTGTTAATTCATGTGCTAGTGTTGCTGACGCTGCTGCTGCTGAATCCGGTGATGCTGCGATTGGTGATAATCTGCTGGGGGGAACCTGAGTAGCGTTGATAGGACGGAATCAAGAGAAGAGGAATGGGACGACGAAGATGGGATTGGTGTGGGGTAGTAGTGGCATAAGAGCAAGGGAGTGAAAGAGCAGTATGGCAAGGCACAACACGAGGAGCGGTGAGGAGCATGTAGCGTGAAGGGAGCACACTCGGGGCACACAAGGCGCACACAAGGGGCACACAAGGGGCAGCGAAGGGGCATGAAGGGCGGATGGAGGAAGGGGGAATATAAGGAGGGAGGGATGTAGGGAGGGAGGAAACTTACAAGAAGGAACCGGAACTCATGCTCTCGTTCGATAAATGCTGGCACCTGCCACCATGCCACGTCACCATGCCACGTCACCATGCCACGTCACCATGCCACAGGAGGGTTTTTAGATGACAACAGGCAACCCAGAACCAGGTATGGGCATGCAGGTATGCGGGTGCATTGCACAGGTAGCAGCAATTATGATCAACATTGTATCATTTGGGACCCCATCATCCCTCCTTTTCTCTCCTCCCTTTCCCTCTTAACCCCACTCCTCCCCCCTCTCTGCGTTTCAGCTTCCCCTTCCTGTCCCCCCTTATGGCTAACTGGAAACAAATCATTTGTGGCTGAGCTTGTAACGAGTACCTCAGTGGCGGGTATGGAGAAGAGCGTGACAACGATCTCCTCTTTCTCGCAGGGCTCCACACTCAGGCTCGAATACTCCTGGGGGTGGGGAGCGGTGGGAAGCGGTGGAGGGCAGCACATGTGCGGTAATGGGCGACGTGTGGGAAACAGCAAGCAGGAGAGGTGGGGAGATGGGCGGAGCAGGGAACGCGAGATTGTAGAGGTGGGGAGGTGGGGAGAGAAAGGAAGTCGAGATGGGTAGAGAGGCAAGAAAATAGCAAGCAGGAGAGCTGAGAAGATGGGCAGAGCAGGTAAGGTGAGATGGTAGAGGAGAGGTGGGGAGAGAAAGGAAGTTGAGATGGGTAGAGAGGCAGCGGTAGCGATGGGAGAGGCAGGGGAGGCGGGGGAGGCGGGGGAGGCAGGGGAGGCGGGGGAGGCGGGGGAGGCGGGGGAGGCCTCAAAAGCGGTAGCGATGGGAGAGGTGGGGGAGGCGGAAACGGTGGAGGAGGCGGGGGAGAGGTGAATAGCCAGAGCATTGGATGCGACTCACTCACCTTGGTCTCGCTATTAGCAATCCCCCTTATAAAGAACACGGGCGCAGCGTGACAGAAGACCCGGCGGAACCCTCTCAGCCTGGCCTGGCGAAACCCCTCCAGTGATGGGAACGTGCTGCGCGCACTGCGCTCTTGGTGGAGGAGAGGGATGAAGAGGGGTGAAGAGGGGCGGAGAGGGGTGGAGAGGGGTGGAGAGGGGTGGTGAGGGGGTTTGGGGAGGGGTTGAGCAGGAGGACGAGCGAAACCATGATGCACCAGGCGGAACCCTCTCAGCCTGGCCTGGCGAAACCCCTCCATCCAGTGATGGGAACGTGTGCGTGCACTGCGCTCTTGGTGGGGGAGAGGGGTGGAAAGGGATGGGGAACGGTAGGATGGGTTCGGGGAGGGCGGAGTGGAATGGGGAGGGGTGGAGAGAGGTGGGTGAAGCTGAGAGGGTCTGCTCCACACATTGTGATATTGGTGGAAGGGGAGGGGAAAAAGGGTCCACGCTCTTAGCGACTGAACTACCGCAGGAGAGTGGGCGGCGAATAAAAGTGGCAGGGGGATGGAGAAGGGGAGGAGGGTGGGGGGTTGGGGAGGGACGGAGAGGGAGGTTGGAGGAAGCTGCAGAGGATTTAGATTACCGGAGAGGAGCGACCCGAATCCAATGATGGAGATCCGACCGTCTTCGCATGCTGCCTGTAGGAAATCCGATTCGTCCGTCAGCTCCACGCAGCCACTGGCGACGAGACGCGTGTCCACGCTGGTAGCACAGCTCGCGTCCCCCTGCCGCTGGGAAGCCGTTAACAGGCAGTCGGCGTCTCCTAACGGTCGTCCGAATCGCCGGCCGAGTTTGTCGCTATGGCATTCTAGCCACCGCCGTGTGATCCGGCCACGCCAAAAATGAGCCGAATTTACCGCATTTCCCGCCGCGTGCGGCGAACGGAATTTGCAGCGAGCAATGGAGCTAGCGGCTGGAATGCAGGCTCGGAGAGCAGCAGATGCACAGTTGCTTGCTCCATGGCACGGATTAGGAGTTCGGACATATGCTGAGGTCGGGATTAGGGTTTGTCGATGCAGAGCAGCAGGCACGTGGGGAATGCTGTGCCATGCAGCCATTGAAAATGCAGTGGGTATTCCTGAGTTTGTTAGCGCGAAATGCGGCGGAATTTCATCCGCGAATCATGAGTTGAATCATATGTCGATAAACTCATGAAGGCAGGTGGCTGGAGAAAATGTATGGAGCGTTCCGAGTCGCATGAATGTGGAGGTTGTGGTATGTGAGACTAGTACTATAGTATGCAAATATGTAGGTTTTGCTTTCTCCAGTGTACAATTGTAACAGTTACCGGTATCACCGACAATTTCTTCTACGTCAACGAACCAATCGCACAGGCACTCTTGCAGCTATCGACGAAGCACCTCTGCAAGTGCTGCGAAGGTTTGGAGACAGTAACGGATGGCTGTGACGAACAGAGCCGTTTTGTTCCTAGGTCGCACAAATCGCAATTGACAAACCATGCGACACTTTCTGTATGTCTTCCACAACCTCCGGGAAAAGCAGCTATCTCCGTGGGAGAGTTTTACGATAAGGAAATACCCTAAACCATCTCCTTGCATTTCCATGTAAAAGTTGTGTAGGAGTCGTGCTCCGCTGGAGTTTACATGGCAAATGGTTTTCGTGTGAGGCGTCCCACCCCCACCACGATGCACGTTCAAGTGTACAAAAAGCCGTGTCAATTTTTAAAAGGGCGTCTTGCCCTAGTTATACTGAATAAAGGAATTATACTCACGTGCTAGATAGTTTTCAGAAAGGTTACCCTCAAACATTGGATTCATTCAACCCTTGCTCCGCTCCTCACACATCCCCGCATCGCCGACGACAGAAGGACTATGCCTGTACGATCCAGACGATTCAAGAAGGGGAACGAACAGAGCTGTCGCCCGCCAACTCGTCGCACGATCTCATCCAAATCGTTCAAAGCGCTCGTAAGCGAATCGCTTGCTCTGGGCGGGGTCAAAAGCTTTTCTGCGATTCGCTGGTCAACCACCTTCAAAAGTGTTTGCGCCGAACTGATTCATTCATCTCGGCCATTTTCAGGTGCATGCAGCTTAGTCGAGACGCGTTATTCAGGTGCATGCCAGGTTGCTTACACTTTTCTCAGGTTAAAAAATGTCTCTCGTAAATTAACACGCAGTTCAAGATTCGATTAAAATTGGCACAAAAGGTCTGAAATAGATGCAATTTCGGGCTACGCAAATTGGAATCGGAATGGTTGGCTCTCGATGCTGCATTTTCTGACGTAACTCAGTGTAATGATTGCATTTTGTCCAATTTATACGCAAATTTCTGCTTTGCACCAACTCATTTCGAACGAATCTAATGCTAGATCTGTTGTACTTTTGACGCAGATGACGGACGCTGCGCATGGCAAATCAGCAAACCCTTCGTGAGTGTTTGTATATTTTGCCTCTACCAAACTAAGTTTGCCGTACGTGCATATTGAAATAGGTGGTATTCAACGGCCTTAATTACGTGGCATTAAATATACATGTAACATACGATATATCCTTAATAGCGGTAGGGGTAACTCACTCTTAACACTCGGGCATATTTATCGTGTTTCGGACTACCCTTTTCAAGCAATGCACGTCCCACTAGAGTTTGCTGATTTGACCCGCGAAGCGTCCGCCACCTGCGCCAACAGTACAAACGATTTAGCATTACAATCCGTTCAAAAAGATTTGGTGCGAAGCAAAAAATTGCGTAGAAACTGGGCAGAAATGCAATCATTGCACTGAGTTACGTCAGAAAATGCAGCATCGAAAGCCAATCATCCCGATTCCGATTTGCGTATTCCGAAATTCCATCTATTTCAGACCTTTTGTGTCAATTTTTATCGAATCTTGAACTAAGCTGAATAACGCGCCTCGACTAAGCTGCATGCACCTGAAAATGGCCGCATTCGTCTTCACTCGCCGAAGTGATTCATTCGACTTCAATCGTCGGGGTACAACGAGCCGCCCGCGAGTCTCGGACTGATCGGCAAATCGTCGTTCTTGCTGTCCTCTTCTTCTGGGTTGTTCAACTTGCTGCCGCCACCAGACCCAAGCCAGGCTGGAGGAAATATTTCACGCGTGTGACGGGGGTTTGGTCCTGAAATTCGCTCTGGCATAAAAGCTCCAGTCACAAAAAATCACTTCACTACAGCAGCAGGAGGAAGAGCCTACCTGCCCGTTTCGACCCAACCAATTCTTCGTGCTTCCCGCGGGCAATCACAACTAGAAATGATTTTCCCTTCCCAAACAAGCCGAAGTAAACCCCAGAAGCAAGAATCGAGATAAAACCAGCACGGATTCGACCAGACTTTCAGTCCCCACACTTCCTCTAGAAGGCTCTGGACTGGCGGAACGGATGGATAACTGTGGTGCTTACATGGCCCACTGAGGAGTGAGCCTCGAGGGACGTACCTTCCGTACCGTACCCCACACTTTCATGAAATCCAGTTTCTTTCGTGACGCGTCCGTTCAGTGCGCGCCGGGGAATCTTGCCTCGTCGTTCTCTCACATCGCTCACTCGCCCCTCCTTACAGCTGTGGATAGGTGGCGCGAATTAAAATTGTCCGGTGTCCAGAAATATCCCAGCCAAGCACGGAAGGACCTAGGCACTTCGACGCATAGCACAGCCAAAAGCGCGACGCCGTCCGCCGCCGTAGTCACAGGCGAAGCCGCACCGACCGCAACGCAAATTTTCCATTTCGCGCGAAAATCAACACGGGGTTTAGCGGCTAAAGCACTGGGGCTCACTGTAAATTATCAATCACCGACAGCCCAGTCGGCGCAGTCACCTGTCAGCCTCGGACCCGTCGCGAATACCCGCAGCGAGGGATTAATGTTCGACTTGATGGACGCCATGTGGACATTCAATAGTATCACAACATCGGCGCCGCCCGCCAGACGTCTCTCGCTTCGCCATGGCGCCTCGGCGGCGGATATTAAAGCCTACATCAGGGACCTCTTCCACGAGCTCGAAACCACGCGGCTCGTTGGCTTCCCGCTCTCCGCCGACGGCTGGCGGCGCCGGACCGCCGGCGCGCCGCGGCTGCAGGACTGCTACAAGATTGGGCGGGAGCTGGGGCGCGGGCATTTCGGCGTGGTGCGCGAGTGCGCGGATGCGCGCACGGGGGAACGGTTCGCATGCAAAACCATTCTCAAGGACCAGATTCAGCGACCCGAGGATCTCAGGGAGCTCCGCGCGGAAGTGCTCGTTCCGCTGCTGCTGCAGGCGGAAACGGCGGCGGCGGAAGGGAAGGGCTTGTCTGGTCCGCGCGCGCCCAAAGCTGCGGGTTTTGTGCGCCTTTTCGAGGTTGCGGAGGACGAGTCCGCGCTGCACCTCATCGTGGAGCACTGCGCGGGGGGGGATCTATTCGACCACGTCGCGCGCAACAAGCGCCTGGCGGAGTGCGAGGCCGCGGGGATTTTCCGCCAGGTCGTCTCCGCCGTGCAGCGCATGCACGCGTGCGGAATCGTTCACCGCGACCTCAAGCCGGAAAACATCTTCCTCCTCCGCGCGCACTCCGCCAGCTGCGCCTCCGCCACTCTAGCCAGCGCAGCTGTCGACATGACTTCCGCGGAATGTTCCGCGGAAGTGCGTGTCGGGGACTTCGGACTGTCACAGCAGCTGACGCGCGCGCGGCCGCGGCTGCGGGGTTTGGTGGGGAGCCCGTTTTACATGGCGCCAGAAATTGTGCGCGGAAAGGAATACGGTGCGGAGGTCGACGTTTGGAGCCTCGGTGTCGTTTTGTACACCTGCCTGTCCGGCGTTCTTCCGTTTTACGGGAAAAATCATAACGCGGTTTTTGCTGCTGCATGTCGCGCGGATCCGGATATGAACAAGCATCCGTGGTTGCAAATTTCTACAGAAGCGAAGCATCTCGTGAGGAGTATGCTTCAGGCGGATCCAACTCGGCGAATTCGCCTGCACGAAATACTGTACCATCCGTGGCTCAAGACTGCTGGTTACTCAAGTGCTTATGGGAACCTCTTAAAGCGGGGCATTCCGTCACTCTTGCCTGCTACGGTTTCAATTTCCCAGTCAAATCTTCTGTTGACGTCAAAACCAGCTGCTGTGTGCTCGCCAAAGTCAGCCCCCATTCCCATTCCAATGGCTGGTTCAGCTACATGCCGAAACACTACCTGCGGAGGAAGTGTTGCAAACAGTGATATGATCTCGACAATTCCCAACGTCGTCACAATCACCCCCACTTGCGGTCCTCCTGTCAGCGGCGACTCAACTTCTTCGTCTTCATGCGACTCGTCCCTGTCAATTATCCACTCTACAAGCGTCTCCAGTAGCAGGAGCAGCAGCAGCAGCAACTGTAGCAACGTGAGCAACCCCAGCGTTCCACATGTTAATCGCCATCATACTCTTAAAGCCCCTTCAGTCCCAGCCCTGCCCTCTCCTTCCACGCCCCTTCCTCCTCCCACTCTCTCTCCTCCTCCCCTTACTCAACAGCAACTTCCTCCCACGCCTCCACAACTTCCTGTTGTGCCTCATCATCTAATCTCTCATACAGATGGCAAGCAGCGTGGTTCCAACCCAACAAGTGCTGGCAGCACATGGCTGACAGGCTTGAATACCGCAGCAAACAGCACCAGGAGCACAGACACCAGCCGTAACACCAGCGCCGGCACCAGTAGCACCACCAGCAGCAGTGGCACCAGCAGCAGCAGCGCTACCAGCAGTGGCAGCAGCAGTTGGAGCATATGGGATGGGCTACCTGTGTCTTGCATTCTCCAGTCAGCCCTGGCTAACCAGCACCTCATGGACGGCACTGTAGCCTGTACTGGGCCCATCCACGCTGGCATTCACAGAAAGCTTATGCTTTGATAATGTACGTAGTGTACATGGGCGATAAACTTGCTTTCCACCCTTTGTTATGCGTATTGAGAATAATGACAGTTACCGTAATTCAAACAATATGCAACAGGTTGTACAGCGGGGAACATCTGACTTTGAACTAAGAACTGAAGCTTCACACCATCC